CCCCGATTAACCGTCACATCGGTTAACCGACCGTTCTAGTCGGCAAATTTCAAATGTCCGCTAGTGATGTAGCACTACAATATTTGGCTATGTCTTGGCTACTTTAATATTATTTTTGTTAAATTTTTGCGTGTTTTAGCTGGCAACAGTGGCTCGACCATTGAAGGGAGGCCAGTATTTAAACGAGACTTAATTTTCTAATTATGAGTGGTTGTTTGTTTTGTGAGCAATAAAATAATTTAAAAATAATTTTTAACGATACGATAGAGACGATTATTATTATTTTTTTAAATTTGTTAGGCTTAACATCGATGAAAATTCAATGCGAAGTTGGTTAATAGCGATATATTAATATACTAATTACATGGGATATACTAATAATGTATTTTTTTCATTTTTTTCGGTTATCTGACCAACCTGAGTCCCCAATTGAGTTGGATAATCAATGCTCTACTGTATTCTTGTAATAGAAGGGTTAAAAATAAATTTTTTTTTATAATTTAAGGATTAATATGTTGATTGCTAAGATATTTTTGTCTCAGTATGACTTCAAACATTTAATTGTAAAAAAAAAAATAGAGCTGATTTTTAAAAGAAGGCAATTTCATTTTTACAATACAGTGGTGCCTCGTATAACGTACTTAATTTGTTCCAGGTGCACGTCTGTTAAGTGAAAAGTCCGTTATACAAAACGCATTTTCCCATAGAAATACATGTTAAAACATATAATTCGTTCTGCAGCATAAAATAACCGTACTGTACCATAAAACAATAAAAATGGAGTAGTCACCAATTATGCCGGGTAGTCAGATGTTGTGAGGAGGAGATGGAGGAACACTTTCTTCACACATTCATACAGATACAGACTTTTTACACATTGCAGCAGGTTTCTTTTTATTGTTTTTTAATTGGAGTCAGATTCAGGAGAGGCTATCAGAGCTTGCAGGATTAACTCCTCTTGTTCCATCCTTTGTTTTTTGGCAGTTGGCTTCTTGAAAAACATGTCCAAGGTGGTCTGTTTCTCTCTCTTCTTCAACACTTGTTGGAAATGACGGACAAGGGTGTCATTGTAGAGATCATTGATCCTGTTGGCCTCAGCTGTGTTTGGATAGTGAGTGTTTGTAAACTCCTGAACCTCTCCCCATTTGACAAGGAAGTCCGTGTCAACTTTCACTCCTTCTGATGATTTCTTGCTTTATTAAAATTGAAATCACCTTTGTTTTTTTAGAAGCCATGATTTGCACAACACTTGAATAAATGTAAATACCCTGCACTGAGGTGATGTACTGTACATAATAAACAAGGTAGCAAGCTGAATCCCAACGGGAGCTCTGTACTTCAGATATACTAATAATATATTCTAATAATAGCAGATTGTCATTGGCAACGGCAAAGGAGTGGAAAGATCATTCACACTTATTTGCAGAAAGTCCATTGTTCGCCTCACGTAACTGCCAAATGGAAAGTCCGTTGCTCGCAGCCAGTCCATTGCTCGAGTCACTTAACGGCCAAACAGAAAGTCCATTGTTCGCAGTGTACGTTATACGAGGCACCACTGTAGTTTTATTTTCTTCTTACTTGTTTCAGGAGTTGCCATTATGCCAGGCAATTAAAGCTACTTATTGAGAACAACACCTGTTTATTCTATTTCAAGCATTAATTATTTATTTTTCTCTCTTTTCAATTATATTATACATTTAAGTGAATTTATATTACAAATTGAAATATGTGAAAAATTAGTATGAAAAAATGATTGTACAAAAATGTTATACAAAAATTATATATATTAGCCAAACTATTTGATAATTACCAAACAAGCTGCTAGACTATATCCTAGCTAGATATAATCTGGCAGTTCATTTGGCATTTATCAAATAACTGGTTTTTGGTTATTGATGAGACTGTCTTGTTTATAAAATCGTGCTGCTGTCAATGGCTGCACACCTTAGAGGTATGAAGGAGCACATGTCAGGAGTTGCAATTTGGCACAGAGTATTTGGTGCCCAAATCATGTTCACATAAAAAGAACCAGACTTGTAGGTAGTCAGGGGACCGAGCACCAAGTCAAAATAAAATACAAAATGGCAACACTCTTTCTACAAACAGACATTAGTGCAAGATTTGCATGTGCATTGCTCATTGGGAAGTTGGAAATGTGAATGTTGCGAAATTGAGTTTTTACAAGCAAATCTCTGAAAAAACCCATTTACCTGTCCTGTGTTATTCCTGACATATCTCTGGTTGTGACATGCTGACCTTGGGCGGTTGACCCAAGATATCTCATTTTGGCATCAAAACATTTTTGAAACTAGATGGCACTAGTTGTTGTAATTTTATATTAAAACTAACTTCCGAAATAATTTTTTTTTTGTTTTTACATTTATTAACATATTTATTTTATTTGTGCAAAATAAAAAAAATAATTTTGAACAATACAATAACCGTGATTTATTTTTTTCAAAAACGGGAAAATTTTGTTACACATCAATAAAAATTCAACCTGGGGTGACACTCAACGGAGAGAAATTTCAACATTGGATAGGTTAATTTCACCAGAAATGCCTCATGGATGACCTCATGACCAGGCTGGCGAAGTTTGAATGATTGCACTCAAAACAGCGATACCAAAGAAGATTGGAGAATGAGAACGAGACTCACCATGAGCGTTGAAGTGATCTCGCTTAGTAATGAGTCTCTGAGACATAGTCTCATCCCAAAAATGGCCTTGCTGTTTTACTTGTTTGTATATACATACACAAAAATTATTTTTATCTAAGCAAATAAGGCAATTTAACAAAGACAATAAAAGTCTTCACTTGGCAATAAAAAAAAAAAAAATGATCCTTAGAAAATAGTAAAAAAAAAAAAAAAATAGCAAGTAAAATGTAGAAAATACAAATGAATAAAAGACAATATAATAAAAGTTTAGCTGAATATAAAAGTTTTTTACAGTAAAATCTATATTTGTGGTATTCAAATATATTTTTTATTAGCAACAGATCAAAAGTAAAATTATCTGATTGTGACATTGTAGCAACAGTAAAGAATGTGAAGTCAAGAAATGTTTGTAGTAAAAAGTGATTGGAATTATTAAGCTAATGTAATGTGAAGAAAGTAAACCAGTATAATATTGTTATAAATATGTATTGTCTAAAAAATTAATTTTTAAACCTGTCACTTTTTGAATTCTATTTATTTTTAAACATTCATTTATTGAATATCAGGTGTTAATTTGATAAATTAATATGAATAATAATATACAAAAATACTATTATTCATATTTATTTAATTCTTAATTCTATAATATATATAGTACTGTATATAATATAATTTGATCAAATAGATAAATTGTTAATACAGTTTAAGACTATACAATAATGAATCCTTTGATGTCCTTTCTCACACCTGTAAGAAGGTCTGTAACATTTTGCATAGTGAGGTGGATGAGCAGCCTCTAATAAAAGGTTGACTTCACCGAAAGACAAATGAGTCTTACAGGGTTTCTTTCTGGTGAAGGCACAAATAAAAAATATAATATAAATTTGATAAAATTGCTTGGACTATAATTGTAAAATTAAAGTGTAAAATAAGTTAATTCAAGAATATATTATATTTTTTATATCAAATCTAAAAATTAGTTATAACTTTTCAGATTTAAAAATTATCCTGAACTCTTTTTTCATGTTGGTTAGTAAAATGTTATCATTGTTATTTAGTGTACATATACAAAGTGTTTATAATTAAAGTTCCAGTTTGAAATGGCCATAAAATGAAAACTACTAGACAGAATGTCATCAAACTTGGTAATAGTGTACAGGACGTCATGGGATTTTATTTCCCATGAAAAAAAAAAAAAAGTTCAAAAACTCACCTTCAACAGAAAATAGTGCTGTCTGCAATATTGTTAAATGAAATAAGACATGAAGACATTGTTAAAAATGTTTTTAATCAGTTTTAAAACATGTTACAGAGCATGTTCAATGTGGTGTCCACCATTTTTGATAAGCAAGTTACATCGCATTACTGTATTCTCAACAGTAGCTCTTAGCATATCAGGAGGAATTTAACTTGCTTATCAAAAATGTTGGACACCACATTGAACATGCTCTGTAACATGTTTTAAAACTGATTAAAAACATTTTTAACAATGTCTTCATGTCTTATTTCATTTAACAATATTGCAGACAGCACTATTTTCTGTTGAAGGTGAGTTTTTGAACTTTTTTTTTTTTTTCATGGGAAATAAAATCCCATGACGTCCTGTACACTATTACCAAGTTTGATGACATTCTGTCTAGTAGTTTTCATTTTATGGCCATTTCAAACTGGAACTTTAATTATAAACACTTTGTATATGTACACTAAATAACAATGATAACATTTTACTAACCAACATGAAAAAAGAGTTCAGGATAATTTTTAAATCTGAAAAGTTATAACTAATTTTTAGATTTGATATAAAAAATATAATATATTCTTGAATTAACTTATTTTACACTTTAATTTTACAATTATAGTCCAAGCAATTTTATCAAATTTATATTATATTTTTTATTTGTGCCTTCACCAGAAAGAAACCCTGTAAGACTCATTTGTCTTTCGGTGAAGTCAACCTTTTATTAGAGGCTGCTCATCCACCTCACTATGCAAAATGTTACAGACCTTCTTACAGGTGTGAGAAAGGACATCAAAGGATTCATTATTGTATAGTCTTAAACTGTATTAACAATTTATCTATTTGATCAAATTATATTATATACAGTACTATATATATTATAGAATTAAGAATTAAATAAATATGAATAATAGTATTTTTGTATATTATTATTCATATTAATTTATCAAATTAACACCTGATATTCAATAAATGAATGTTTAAAAATAAATAGAATTCAAAAAGTGACAGGTTTAAAAATTAATTTTTTAGACAATACATATTTATAACAATATTATACTGGTTTACTTTCTTCACATTACATTAGCTTAATAATTCCAATCACTTTTTACTACAAACATTTCTTGACTTCACATTCTTTACTGTTGCTACAATGTCACAATCAGATAATTTTACTTTTGATCTGTTGCTAATAAAAAATATATTTGAATACCACAAATATAGATTTTACTGTAAAAAACTTTTATATTCAGCTAAACTTTTATTATATTGTCTTTTATTCATTTGTATTTTCTACATTTTACTTGCTATTTTTTTTTTTTTTTTACTATTTTCTAAGGATCATTTTTTTTTTTTTTATTGCCAAGTGAAGACTTTTATTGTCTTTGTTAAATTGCCTTATTTGCTTAGATAAAAATAATTTTTGTGTATGTATATACAAACAAGTAAAACAGCAAGGCCATTTTTGGGATGAGACTATGTCTCAGAGACTCATTACTAAGCGAGATCACTTCAACGCTCATGGTGAGTCTCGTTCTCATTCTCCAATCTTCTTTGGTATCGCTGTTTTGAGTGCAATCATTCAAACTTNTCTCATTTAGATAAACCAATAATATAAAACATTAGATTTTACTTATGAAATATGAAATCATATCCCATTACGTCAATTAAATATATGAATACTTTTCAATTGAATTGAAAGTATTCAGTTAGCAAATTTTAAGCTAGAACTCAATATTAACTAATTATTCTAAATTAGGATGCTCAGATGACCATAAAGATATGAATGATAATTTCATGTAAGACAAAGTATTTCCAAAAGTATTGTAAATTATTAAATTAAATCTAAGAATTATTATAAAATGTCATATGTAAAACTAAGAAACATTGTAATGAGAAGGAAAAATTCTATGGTATATTAGCATATAAGATTTAAGATAAATCTAATCTAATTGCCAATAATAACTAGAGAGAGAATTCATTAATAAATTATATATAAAGTGATTTTACTGAATGAAAATATAAACTTTTTTTTTTTTTTTTTTGTTTTCAGAAAACTTTATCTTTTCCATATAATCTGGAAAATATTATTGATGATTGGATCTTAATGGGATTTTTAGTTGGAAATGATTTTATTCCTAATTTACCTTATCTTCATATACAACACGATGCTCTTAGAATTTTATATAAAGTATATATCAAAGTATTGCCAACTTTAGATGGTAATCTTTTATTACTAAAATTATGTTTTTCTTATATTTTAAAATAAGAATATTATAAAATAAGTATATCTGTCAATCTTTTTAGATAGAAAAGATTGACAGATATATGTTAGTTTATGCTTGTTATTTTTATGAGTGAATATCTTTACTTTGTGTTAAATACATATTTAACAGTTATTACTTGCTTTTATTCATGTATGATCTTTAATAGATTTCACCTAAATAGATGTACAACAACAGGATTATTTTTATTCTTATGAAGATATAATTAAGGGCATATAAAGGTTGTACAAGTTTTTTATCTTGAGACTAGTGTTGCCACCTGTTCAAAATCACTGACCTGCTCAGCAGGTCAGTGATTTTGAACAGGTCGTCAGGAACTTCTGTTCGAACAAACCTGCTCAGCAGGTCAGGTTTGTTCGAACAGAAGTTCCTGACGCATGCGCAATGTCATTTTACAATGTGAAGAATAATGTGCATGCCGATTCTAAATCAGTTACAGTTAGGGACTAGGGACTTGTGTAGGAGTAACATGAGTAACCTAAATTAAGAAAGAACAGGTACAGATGACTTAGCTTTATTGGATATTGGAGATGTGTATGATTGTACGTACATGCAAAAAGAAAGAAAAAAGGTCAACAGGTTGTGCGCCACATGTCGGCATAAACAGACTAAAGTGGCAGAATTGCAGATGAGTTTCAGTGAGTGTGAGTTCTTTCGCTGTTAAAATAGTGTAAATTTGTAAAAATATTTGCAAGAACTTTGCTTCATTGTAATTTCACAATTTCTACAAAATTCCTGGACTGTCCAGGTGAAAACCAGATACTTGAGACTAAATGCACTTTAATATATTGAATTACTCCTGATTGATTGCATGAATGTAAATCTTTGGGATAAACTGAAACAAAAACAGATGCTGAAAACAAAATCACTTCCTACTTCCCACTATTACTAGTGCAACTTAACAAATTTTTTACCTGTGTATTTAGAAAAAATTCTTGTATTACAAATTTCTTTTATTTGGATATTGTGATTGGTACTAAAGAACATCTTTTGTTCTAACAGTTTTTTGGATACTGACAATGGATGTATTTCAATTGCTAAAAAATTAGATGTCTGAATTTTTTGTTTAGTTTTTGGAAACTAATTTAATAAATATAGAAAGCAGACTTGCATTAGTCTTCTGAAAGAAATTTATATGTTAGGCTCAAAGAACGAAAATGCTCATTGAGCGAAAAAAGTCCACAATGCGTTGTAGTCACTTTAACTCTTAGGGTATTTTTTCCCTGCATGGAATTGCACTTGGAAAATCCCTAATTAATTGATTTTTTATATTAGCTAATTATTTTCACTCAAACGCGAATCTGACATCCAAAAAAATTGCCAGGAAATAATTGCTACAAAATAAATACACCCCCCCAAAAAGTGTTTTCACAGAAAAACTATATAAAAAATTAAAAATAATTTAAAATGAATGCTTTTATTTGAAAAATATAGATGCATGGATTGTTATTCTTTCGTTTAATAAGGCATGAAATTTCACACATTCAGTCTACATTGTTTACAAACTGGTTGACCTCAAGAAAGCTGGTCTCAGCTTTCCCAGGTAGTTCTCAGGGTAATACTGGTTTAAAGCAGGAGGGGAGCTAACTTATCGCATCTATTCAAATATAACAAAAAATTTTCACTTTTTATGCTATTAAAATACAGGGGAACTGAAAAATTTATGGGACTACTGAAATTCTACTGAATAAAAACCAAAAAAAACCTGCTGATGTCATAGAAAACATCCAATAGTATTTTAAAAAATTTTACCAAAGTCAAAATGGTCAAATAGAAGTTTAGAACAATTTAATTAATTTGATAAAAAAAAAAACTCTCATAAAAACAATAGCGCAATTAATTACCTAATTAATAAATTGATTTTACGGCAAAAATAATTAATTAAATTTGCATAGGTGATAGATAATGATGTATATATGCTGATCCATACATTTTTCAAAAAGTTATAAGTNAAAAAAACCTGCTGATGTCATAGAAAACATCCAATAGTATTTTAAAAAATTTTACCAAAGTCAAAATGGTCAAATAGAAGTTTAGAACAATTAATTTAATAAAAAACTCCCATAAAAAATAATAGCGCTATTAATTTGCTAATTAATAAATCGTCATAAAAAATTTTACGGCAAAAATAATTAATTAAATTTGCATAGGTGATAGATAATGATGTATATATGCTGATCCATACATTTTTCAAAAAGTTATAAGTTCAGGCCCTTTTTTTGAGGCCCGTTAAGGTCCTTGCCTGAGATAATTCAGGTTTTGAACTGCAGATCATCACGCACAGCCCAAGTTATCTCAGGTTAAGAACTGAAGGGGTTAAGAAAAGCAATAACGAATTATAAATATTAGCTGATGCAACCATTATAGAGGGTGATATGACACAGTTGTTTGTAACTTTAAAATATGGGTTTTAGCCTCAAAACATTTTTATTCACAATTTTAATGCTGAACAACATTAGTTCTACAAGTTTTCCTAGAAATTTAATTTTCATACTTAAAAAAATTTCAAAGAAATAAAATGTATGGAGAAAAATACACTTTTGGTTTGCTTAAAAGTGCTAAAGGTCAAACTACATGTACTAGTAGATGCTTGATGTACTCTACTTGATGGCATAAAAATCAGCTGCTAAAGTTAAAAACTACTGTGCAATGGATTTATTATGGTTAAAAGCCACCACAAGTTCTGGATGTTAACTAATAACGAGGTGATGATAAGAAAATAAAACTTTTTTTTTCATGAGATAATTAATTTTTGACATATAGAGTAACTAATAACATAAATAATTATAACTACTTAGTTGAAGAATAAAAAATATTATTTTCATATTAAATTTTAAATTGTAAATAATTTTTATTTTACTCATATATATTTAATAGGTTATATAAATGAAAATGGAAAACTTAATTTACAGAGATTTGAAAAATATTTAAAAGAATTATCACAGGTAAATATTTTGATTTATTAAAACTATAAATAAAACTTTCAGTAATAATTAAAATTTACCTTTATATTAAATTTAAATACCTATCACTTAATCTTCAAGGAAACAATATTGTCAGTTATAATTGTCATTTGTAATGTATGAAATTTGCAATTAAAGTATAGAGTCTCAAGACTTTCATTCCAACAGAGAATAATTTTTTCAGTTTTAGTGGTTTTTGAATGTCAGGATCTTGCTAAACATACTATATATAATATATATAATAAAAAATGTCATATGGGTATATATAAAGGATGATTTGTTTACACCATATATTTATCGCTATCACAATATTATTTAATACTAGTGGACATTTCTTGTTATAGAAGGATAACAATTATCAGAATTTTTGTTGTATTTGAGAGAAATAGTTCCACAAAATGAGAAACATAAGTGATGTTTATTGCCAATAACCTTAGTATTTTCTCTGGATTCTTGCAAGAATTTGATGGTGTTTCATCTTTGTTTATTTCTGGCACAATTGTGTCAGACTTTTGTCTTTTTTACATCATTAAGAATTTCATAAACAATAAACAAACTTAATTGAAGAAAATTTTAATAACTTTACCAATTATGGACACCCAGATCTTCAAAATGATACATAAACTTATAAAAGATATATCACAGGATATATTTAAATTATTAGTCTTGTACCTTTGTCATATCGGCAAGCAAGTAGAAATTTTGTTTATTATTTTATCAATGAAAAGTTAATTACGAAAACTTATATGATTGAACATTTCATTTTTTTACTTTTATTTACAATCTGCTTATTTATACAAACAATATTTTTGTGTTGAATTATTATTTGAATTTTAAAAAAATATTTTAATTAATACTACATTCATTAATAAATGAAATGGCCAAGGACAATAACAATTGTGATTGTGATACCACCTGGAATTTTTTAAACATTTTTACATAATGAGGCAGATGAGTAGCCTCAAATAAAAGATTGACTCTGCATATAAAGACAGTTGTGTTCCTGAGTTATTGAAGTAGGACAAGATATGAAGATTTTGTGTCTTCTGATTTGTGAATATTTTTTATATTTATTATTTGAATTCTTATTTTTTTGTTAAGTAATAAATTTTAATTTTATTTCTGCCAAATAGCTCTTGATCTGAAGTCTCTATTTGGCAAGGAAACAGCCTGTTTTTCACTGTAAATTGGAATTTGGAAATACAGCTCTCCCTTGATATTCTGATGTTTTTTAATTAATCTGACATGCTCAGTTGTCTGATGCACCTCCCGTCAAGGTACCCATCCCTGTTATGTGTCTGCTTGCACAGAAGCATGTCACGATGTGAATCTCCCCATCCAATTCTTACACGATGACACACATTTCATGTGTTTTCTGTGAGCAGTTCTGTTCGAACAGTTGGAGTAGGGAATATTGTAAGCTACTGCTAGCAAAACAATGCAAAATATGTAATTATTTTCGGTAATCTGGACACTTTTGGTAATCCAACACCTTTTTGGTCCCATACCTGTTGGATTATTAAGGGAGAACTGTATTCATATTTATAATTCAAAATTAAATCATCATAACAAAAAAATTACAAAAATACATTTTAAAGAATAAAGTGCTGAAAAGTGCAAATAACGTTATATGAATAGTGAGCTATTACAGTAAATTATGCCAACTAATAAATATTTTGCTGAAACAGAATGCTAACATAAATAATTAAATAACAAAATACTTTACTAAATAGTCAATTGAAATTAATGTTCTGTGAATCAAATTTCTTTCATATATAAAATATTTTCAGAGATCTATTTCCACATTCACTTCACATCCAATGATATTTATTATTGCTAAAAAGTTAGAAAGAATATCTATGTGACAACTGATATTTCCTTGTACAGTTGTTAACAAATACAGTAAGCATCATGTATTAATTGAGATTTTATTATTTTAGAAATAAAAAACTTATATGCATATGTACTTATACACATGTCTCATATATTGTATTTATCTGTATATTAACCCTTTTTAAATCATATATTGGCATCTCAAGATTGGGATAGTTTTCAAGGATAATAATAATAATAATAATAACAACAACAACAACATACCGATTATGCCCTGTGCTGAAATAAATGTACACGACATTTGCTATGCTGTGAACAGAACACATAACTGGAAGACACCTTGTGTAGACAATTTCTGGTACAAAAAAATTTACATTACTGCACCAGGAACTAGCCAAACATCTAATGCACATCATCATCACAAGACATGTCAAAATTTTATACTCAGGGCATCACCTACATAAAACCTAAAAAAAAACAATACCACAGACCCACAATACAGACCAATACATGTCTTCCAACACTCTACATATTATTGACATCCTGCATTGCAAACAAAATATACAAACATGTTGAAGAACACAGCATTCTTCCAGAACAACAAAAAGGTTGCCATAGAAATCACAGTGGATGCAAAGAACGGTTAGTTATAGATTCAGTCATTCTACGGCAAGCAAACAACACAGAAACATACACATAGCTATATAGACTACAGAAAAGCGTTTGACGGTGTTCCTTGGCTGCTACATATTCTACATATGTACAAAATACATCCATCACTCATTGCATTCTTTCAAAACACTATGCAGCACTAGAGAACAACACTACATCTCAAGGTTAGTAACACTTCCATACAAACAAGCCAAATATTCATTAGGCAAAGAATTTTTCAAGGAGATTCTTCGAGTCCGCTCTGGTTCTGCGTAGCCCTGAATCCATTATCCAACATGTTAAACAACACGCTATATGGTTACAATATCAGACAAGAAAAAACAACACAGTTTACACTGTCACATCTCATGTACTGTACATAGACAACATAAAACTTTATGCATCCACACAAAAACAACTTCATCAACACTTACTAAACATAAACAACATCATCCTAAATCTGCTATAGAAAGATTAACCCTTCCATGTAAAGTTTTCGGACGTGGCCTGATTGACATAGTTAACCTTCACTACAAACAAATACAGTCACTGCAAGTGTTTTTCTACAGGAAACAAGAAACATCACAATTACATAAAGCAGTAACTCTAGCAGACTCAAACAACACACCATTAAACTTACACTCACATCATACAGACTTGACACAACATATAAAAAGCATAGACAGCATTAAGCAATCGTGGGCTCAAAAGGCACTCCATGGCAGGCATCCTTATGACCTGGCCCAGGATTTTGTTGACAAAACTGTGTCAAACAGCTGGTTAGATCCAGGATGCCTCTTTGGGGAGACAGAAGGATTCATGATTGCCATACAGGATCAGNAATTTGATAAAATTGCTTGGACTATAATTGTAAAATTAAAGTGTAAAATAAGTTAATTCAAGAATATATTATATTTTTTATATCAAATCTAAAAATTAGTTATAACTTTTCAGATTTAAAAATTATCCTGAACTCTTTTTTCATGTTGGTTAGTAAAATGTTATCATTGTTATTTAGTGTACATATACAAAGTGTTTATAATTAAAGTTCCAGTTTGAAATGGCCATAAAATGAAAACTACTAGACAGAATGTCATCAAACTTGGTAATAGTGTACAGGACGTCATGGGATTTTATTTCCCATGAAAAAAAAAAAAAAGTTCAAAAACTCACCTTCAACAGAAAATAGTGCTGTCTGCAATATTGTTAAATGAAATAAGACATGAAGACATTGTTAAAAATGTTTTTAATCAGTTTTAAAACATGTTACAGAGCATGTTCAATGTGGTGTCCACCATTTTTGATAAGCAAGTTACATCGCATTACTGTATTCTCAACAGTAGCTCTTAGCATATCAGGAGGAATTTAACTTGCTTATCAAAAATGTTGGACACCACATTGAACATGCTCTGTAACATGTTTTAAAACTGATTAAAAACATTTTTAACGATGTCTTCATGTCTTATTTTGTTTAACAATATTGCAGACAGCACTATTTCTTGTTGGTGGTGAGTTTTTGAACTATTTTTTTTTTCATGAGAAATAAAATCCCATGACATCCTGTACACTATTACCAAGTTTGATAACATTCTGTCCCATAGTTTTCACTTTATGGCCATTTCAAAGTGGAACTTTAATTATAAACACCCTGTATATGTACAGTACATACACTAAATAACAATAAACAATGAATTTTTTTTGATTTCAATCATGATATATATATTTTTAATTGTTAGAAGTAGTTATACATAGCATATTTTTTTATTTCTTAGAGTTGTTCCAGAACATACAAGTTTTCATTTGCTTCACTTGTCTTTAATGAGAGAGTATCTAGATTTTGAATTTTCAGCTTTAAAAGTAAGAAATTATATTTTAATATTTTTTAATGTAAATATTAATTCATTAACCTATGTTAAGTACCATAACAAACATATAGTTTTGGTACCACAAATAGAAATTATTGAACATCCATTAACCTAATTTTTTGATCAAGGGCAAACAATATGCCAGATTATATCAGACTATGTTATATAGTCCAATATAATTAGCAATTATTGTTGTTTACTTTTAACTTTTTTTTTTCTCCATTTTACAATATTTACAATCATAAAATCTATTTGTTAATTGATTATTGTTAAGGTTATTAAATGGCACAAAGTTATTAAATTTCAAATAAATTCCAAAATTTTAGCATGTTTTTATTTAATTTATTGAAATAATTCATTAAAAAAATATTATTATTTATATATTTTCACTACACTTACCAATGATTTTATTGTGATTACCACACAAATGTAGTTATTTCATTTGTTGCATTGGCTACTTTTTGGTGGTCTTTATTTCTGAGATATGGGGACTAAAAGTCTTGTTTTCTAGTTGTACTTTACATGCTGGAACTTGACTATCTATTTTACTTTCATAGTAAGATATTCTTGAACAATGTGTATCTGACAATGCTTGATAATATGTGAATCCATTCAATTGAAAAGATCATACAA